AATTGTTTCAAGTTATGTATTTTAACATCAATATTTCTTTTGTATCTCATAAAAAAGTTTCTTTAAAAACAATTAGTAAATTGTTTTAATAGCATAGTTAAACAACTTTAGAATCTTATAAACAATTATTTTTTAATAATATATATAGATATATATATATATATAATTGCTTGCTTAGCATTTAATTTTACTTGTTTAATAAAACCTCTAAAATTTTCTCTCTATTTTCAGTTACAAATTTATCATTAATATTTTTTTACTTCTCACATTAACACATCCTATTAAGTGTAATCATGTCTTTTTCTATTATATTATATAATACTTATTGCTAATACCAACTAATAATAATTCAAAATAAATATAAATTATATAATTATAAACAATTGTTTCAAGTTATTCATATTAACATCAATATTATCTTTTTTCTTTTGTATCTCATTAATAAATTTCTTTAAAAACAATTAGTAAATTGTTTTAATAGCATAGTCAAACAACTGTAGAAGCTTATAAATAATTGTTTTTTAATAATAATAATAATAATAATAATAATAATAATAATAATAATAATAATAATAATAATAATAATAATAATAATCAAACTAATATTATCTAATGATAATAAATAGTTGTTCATAATAATAAAATCGTTAATTTATTTTTCTTATTGATCAAATTTTTGAGAATTTTAATATTAAATCCTCAAATATTACTTACTAATATTTTATGGATATATGTGCATGTGCACAGGATAACAACTAGTTACAGGAAATACAAAGTTGTTTTCAGCTACTCAACTTTAATATATATAACTAAAATGATCTATTAAAAAAACCCTTATAATAAATAATATATTATGAAACAAGGTTGAAATATTTGGTAACGGAAATGCTTCATAACAAGAAGTTAGAATATAAGATACCACTCCCCCTTATATATATAAAAAAAAATCAAAAGGCGCTAATTGCAGTTTGGTTGGCTTCGTAATTTTATGTGGCAAATATTACGCTATGTAATATAAGTTGGATAAAAATTACTATTTTTTAATTACAAATAACATAGGTTTGGTGTGACACCCCGCCTAGACTTACTAAAATCAGAGTAAAAATTTTCGCGCTATAAATGGAAAACGCTGATTTAATTTTTGAAAAACTCATATAATTTTTCAAAAATGCTTTAGCTTTAATTTGCGTGATGCTACTCAACTTTAGTATTATCTTTATATCATTAATCTATCATGCATGCGACCAAGTAAAAATTCATCCTAGAATTAAGGCTATGAAAATTTACTGGAATAACTCATGCATTCTGAAATTCCCAAATATTGAAAAGTACGAAATTCTAAAATGCTATTGACTACTGTTCTTAAATTTTGAAACATAGTTCTGATTGCGGAATCAAAGATAGTTCGGAAAGCAAACACAAACATAAATAAACAAGCAACGACAAAAGATAGTTCAGACATGTTCAAATAACTACATCACATGTTCACTCAAAATATCCTGGCTGATGACCACCACCACATATCCGCTCACGCTCCACGTTGGACTCCATCACCTGAGAAATAGGGTAGTGGGGAGGCGTGAGAACAAAGGAATCAACGGTGCTTCACCGGAATCAACACTGAATACTCAGCACATTTGATAACAAACCATGAAATTGGCATATGTATAAATAAATTGGTCTAACTATGGGACTAACTTTGTAACACCTCGCCTTGACATGAAAATCAGAGCGCGCTTTTCACAAATTTTCTAAATAAAATAAATAAAATATTGCTTTTGCGAAATCTGATTCGGGGTGCTACCGTAAATTCTGACTTATTCTGAAAAACCGTTCATTTCTGATAATAAAACGGTTATACAATATCTTCAACCGACTAACGTCGGGTCAAAAGCTGGTTTAGAGTACTGAAAACAGTAGCGGAGTCATGGCGTAGCCAAACATAATACATATAAACAAATGTCCTGAACCGGTCGCTTGCTCACTCTTCGGCTCCGACTCTGTGACCTGAAAAAAAACATAAATACTGTGGGGCGTGAGCACTAAGTCCACTGTGCTCCGCAGAAACTCATACTAAAGTAAACAGTGAAAATAATTACAATATCATGATCCTGGCATATATAACTGAACTGAACTGAAACTGGTACTGAATAATCATGATCTGATACTGATGGTGTGATAATCATCACCTGCCTGATACCTGAACATTTGCCAGCATAAATGTCGGACACCATGTGCACACTCTAGTGGGCAGACTAAGGCTACTAGAACCCAGAATGGATCGGCGACCATTTCGAGCGGATACTGATAATACATACCTCAAACATGGTAGAATAATTATAGTCAATGTAATACCCAGTCTGAGTCCCCACCTGAACTGCTGATCTAAAAATGTAAGTGTTGATTGCCTGCAAAACTGACATATATAAACAAATACTTAGTACTATGCTCAAACTGATTAAAATAGCTGTTAAGATGCTCGACTCGATCTGAATAGTTAACTGGAACCATCTCGGGGTCTAACTTAACTGACCATGGCTTTGAAGTCCGGCGAACGGCGGATGATTTCCTCAAGGGCATAATCGAGTGACACATGCCCTTCTGAATGCGAATAGGAATAGAAAGCTGCTAGGACGAATTTAGGTATATTGAACCGATAGCCCATCGGCGATTTAGCTCAGCTCCAAAGCATTGAATTACTTTGAATAGGAAAAACTGGACTGAACTACTACTGCTAAACTGAACTGAACTAACTGCACATGACTGATCATGACTGAACATGACTGATCATGACTGAACTGACTGAACTTGAAAATTCAACTGAAATAATTAAACCGAATAATGTATCGACTAATAGTCGAATTTGAAATATCACTGGCTGAATAACTTGAACTTGAACATGAACATGATTATTTACTAACAAAGGCTAGCTTAAAATTAAAAGCTAGTATTTTCCTTTATTAATAAAACTCGAGGTGTTACAATCCACCCTCCTTAAAGTATTTCCGTCCTCGGAAATACTAAAACTGACTGTATAAGATTAACTCGAAGCTTATACTTACTTGCTGATATAACTGAGAATTCAGCAATGACTACTGAACATTAAACTTTGATCTAATTCAAGAAAGACACTAATTACCTCATCTGGATGCTAGACTTAGGACGGGCCCTAAACACACGCATCCAAGTCATAACTGAAATACTGAAATATTGACCAAGACGGGATCACTCATCCGCTCGGTCCTTCAATTTAATCACATATAGACATCAGACATGGTAAATTATTAAAAACAATGAAATACATAGTACAGTGGTCCCCACCTGGAAACTGGCGAATGAAAATGCTGAAAATGCTGAAATGGGTAGTTGATAGAGGCTCGACTCTCCTCAAGCTACAAAATAGATTGAGCGAAATATTCGAAGTACTGGGCTCAGAATAAAACTCGAATCTTTATTATTTGATATGTCTAAGTTCGCTAACTCAGCTTTAAATACAGTGGTCCCCACCTAAAAACTAGCGAATGAAAATACTTTGAATAAAAATATTATAAATAATGCCTATGTTGTTATATATAAATTAGTTTTCTGAATTTAAAATAATATTATAAATTCACTTAATTATTTATCATGAATTATCATATATTGTTATATAATTATTTAGTTCAGCGTTAATAAGATTTATACGAGTGAGCTACGATTGAGACTCCTTACGGATGTTAGGTTTTTCGAATCACCGATTCCATCGATCGAGAAAGTAAACAGCAGACACGAGTAATATCGCAAATAGAGCCATTGCGACACCCATCAAAGGGGTCGTTCCCCACCCCGGAGCTACTTTACCATATTCTGAATTCAATGGTTTTAATAAACCCCATACGGTAGTTCGTCTTGGGACCGATTTCGAACTGTTATTTTACGCTGAAGGCATGGAATGCTCAGAGAGCTGGTGCTGCAGCTTTACTGGTTGCGGATGACCGGGTCGAGCCTCTTATAACCATGGACACCCCAGAAGAAGCCGATGCACAGTCCAAATACGTGCAAAACATAAGTATCCCATCCGCGCTTTCGTCTTCTCTCAAAGAAGAATGGAATAAAACCTTTTCTCTTCAAAAAGAAGATATTTTAGTTTTTTTGTTATACATTTAGTTATTTTATTGTACTAGCTTGTTAAAAGGTCAATTCCCTATCAAATCCTCACCTTTTATAAAATTACAAATAAAACTCAACCTTTTTGTCTTTGCAAATCAATACCAAACCTTTATTATGTGTTGCAAATGTGTCTCAAAATCATTTTTCGGCCAATCATTGTTGACGTTCCCGATCAGAAATCTTACATGGCATTGATATACTGAAATATTGACTAAGACGGGATCACTCATCCGTCTCGGTCCTTTAATTTAATCACATATAGACCTCAGACATGGTAAATTATTAAAAACAATGAAATACACAGTACAGTGGTCCCCACCTGGAAACTGGCGAATGAAAATGCTGAAATGGGTAGTTGATGGAGGCCCGACTCTCCTCAAGCTACAAAATAGATTGAGCGAAATATTCGAAGTACTGGGCTCAGAATAAAACTCGAATCTTTATTATTTGATATGTCTAAGTTCGCTAACTCAGCTTTAAATACAGTTGTCCCCACCTAAAAACTAGCGAATGAAAATACTTTGAATAAAAATATTACAAATAATGCCTATGTTGTTATATATAAATTAGTTTTCTGAATTTAAAATAATATTATAAATTCACTTAATTATTTATCATGAATTATCATATATTGTTATATAATTATTTAGTTCAGCGTTAATAAGATTTATACGAGTGAGCTACGATTGAGACTCTTTACGGATGTTAGGTTTTTCGAATCACCAATTCCATCGATCAAGAAAGTAAGCAGCAGGCACGAGTAATCGCAAATAGAGCCATTGCGACACCCATCAAAGGGGTCGTTCCCCACCCCGGAGCTACTTTACCATATTCTGAATTCAATGGTTTTAATAAACCCCATGCGGTAGTTCGTCTTGGGACCGATTTCGAACTGTTATTTCACGCTGAAGGCTTGGAATGCTCAGAGAGCTGGTGCTGCAGATATACTGGTTGCGGATGACCGGGTCGAGCCTCTTATCACCATGGACACCCCAGAAGAAGCCGATGCACAGTCCAAATATGTGCAAAACATAAGCATCCCATCCGCGCTTTCGTCTTCTCTCCAAGAAGAATGGAATAAAACCTTTTCTCTTCAAAAAGAATATTTAGTTTTTTTTGTTATACATTTAGTTATTTTATTGTACTAGCTTGTTAAAAGGTCAATTCCCTATCAAATCCTCACCTTTTATAAAATTACAAATAAAACTCAACCTTTTTTCTTTGTAAATAAATGCCAAACCTTTATTATGTGTTGCAAATGTGTCTCAAAATCATTTTTCGGCCAATCATTGTTGACGTGCCCGATCAGAAATCTTACATGGCATTGATGAGGCTTGTGTGGATCAACCTTTTAAACTCATCACCATGTTTTTGGCACATCATATGCCAATTGCCAACAAATGAAGTAGTTAACCTCCAACAATAATTGAGTTCACATGTTGTTGCTCCATTCTTCCTTTAAAAAAATCGAGTTCACCCCCAATTGGAAAATAAAATAGCAGCGATTCTTCACCATGGTGCGGTTCTTCACCCCCAAAAATTGAGTTTACCTTAACATTCCGAATACATTTATGAGCTCATCCCCAAATTCTAAAAAATTGGGCAGAAGGGAGATTTTCGGTCGCATGGAGGCGATTTTAGTATTCTGTTAAGCATTAAAACGAGAGGCTTGGAAGTTTCATGACTTTTGTCAATGGAGAACTGGCAAATTCTAATCATATTTTGCATTTTTAGGGTTTCAATTGTGAAGGGGTTCAAATTTATGGTTCTTAGATTTTAGGAGTTTTTATTTTTTTTTTCCTTATCCATAGTCTAGTTAGTATCATGTGAGCTTGGAATATTTATTATCCATAATTTTGTTTGTGATTTTGAAGTTCAAACTTAGGGTTCTTGGATTTTGGGGGGTTTTTTAGGGACCTTGGTTTAATTTCTTGTTTTTTTTTTGTCACACGATTTGGAGGATGCTGTGAAACAATTAGTCTGCCACGTAAGCCTCATTAGTGCCACATAAGAATTCTACTCGGACACGTCAGCTTGACTTACCCAAAAAATAATTTGAGACAAATTTGCAACACATAATAAAAGTTTAGTATTTATTTGCAAAGCTAAAATTTATTTACAATTATATTAAAGAATGGAGTTTTATAGGCAATTAAGCCATCTTAAAATCATGAAAAATATTGTGTTTTTTAAAAAGAAAGAAAAGAAATAGTATGTTGACAAGGAGTTATCCTGTATGGATGTTAGTGTATTGTTGTATAGCGGATTGAATTAGCGGAGTGAACCTTGTTTGTAATATTTTTGGGCAATTGGTAACCGAGTTACCCGGACTCGGGTCGTTCTCAAAGGAAGGCTATTCGGACAAGGATTCAAACAACGATTGACTCACACAAGAAAATAAAAAAAAAATCTAAACACTCTACTCGCAATTTGGGGGTTTGGATTAAGCTAAGAACGCAATTTAAACTAAGACGAAAGCAAGATTCACAATTTATCGCAAGCAAGACCTCAAATTGCAAGAAAAGAGAAAATTAAGAGAAAAAGAACAAGGTACTCCTAGACTCGAGATGGAAAGAAGGCACTCATAGGTTCGGGAATATGCAATCGAGCAATCGTCACTCGTGATCAATTAACCTCTCAATCGATTCTCGCTCACGCAATCAATAACAATATCACATAATCCCTAGCCTACGAGGATGATGCATAATCGACTCATGGATGTGCCAATCTTAACCCTAGAATAAATCCAATAAGTAAAGACGAGCAAGACTTACGAAATCATGAACCTTAAACAAAGTCTCCAAGTCTCTAGTGCATCCACGAGAAGAAATAAGCCGAAAAATTGTAATCTTGATGGAGAAATATTACAATTAAAAATAGGGTCTTGGAGCCTTTAGAGAGAGAAAGAAAGTTAGAGAGAAGGGAGAGAAAAACTACGAAGAGAAAAATTTAGCAAATGAGGAATTCTCCAAAATTACAAAGCAAGATGTCTATTTATAGCTACACCACAAACATACACTAAAAGCACACACATTTAATAATAGAAACTCGCAAGATAGGCCGAACTCGCTAGATAGATCTTCATTTTCGCTAGCTATTTTCGCTAGCAAGGTGGAACTCGAGGGATAGAGTGCATTCGCGGGATAGATCATGATTTTCGAGGGCTCTAATCCGGCCTTGGCTTGACTTTTGAAGCTCGATTAGCTCTAACTTCTCGCGCGGTTATCTGATTGGCTTGAAATTTTGACACATGCTCCTCAAATCTTTTTCTCCTCGTCTCGGGTGACTTTCTGGCATTTTCCCATAAATTTGTTACCGACTTTTCGGAACACGCTTTCCCTACAAAATAAAAGGTAAAAAGAGAAATAAAAAGCACAAGACACCAAAACGAAACGAGAACATAAAAATGAGCAAATACGACTAAATGGATCGGGAAAACCCTAAAATAAAATAAAACGAACACAAATAAGACACATAAGAACACACAAAATAACCACAAAAACATACAAAACAACTCCCCCACACTTAACTCTTTGCTTGTCCTCAAGCAAACAAAACAACAAGTAGTTCGAGAAGAAAAATCGAACGGTCCAAAATTAATGATCATGCAAAATGTAACCCTCATCTCCATCCGGTTATTCCCAAAATTAAACTCAAATTCGAAAACACGGTTCCCACAAGATGAATCCATGCAAACAAAAACTCGCCCCAAGTCATTCTACACATGGTTTACTCAATTCAAACTCCCTTTTTCCAAATACACGTGCAAAAAGCTAAATGAGGTCTACGCAAAGTATAATAAACGATAAGCACAAAACCAACATGTCCGACTCCCCCCTTTCTTTTATATTTTTTGTTCTTTTTTTTACATGAGTCACTTTTTTCAAATGAGAGTCGTTTGGACGATTATTACCTAGGTTTTAACCTCCGGGTATGTCCCCGAGTTTCCTAGGCCGGTTTCCCGTACTCACTAACCCAATTTATCTAGAAGACTAACAGGTCCAAGAGGAGCCTAATCCTTTCAACTCTCACAAGCTCATTTTTTTTAATTTTTTTTTCGTGAGCTTCTTTTTCCAAACGAGGTTTCCGAACGATAATTATCTAGGTTTAGCCTCGAGGGGTTTCCTCGAGTTTCCTAGACCGGTTTCCCGGGCTCATTATCTCATTTCACGAAGTGAATCGAAATAAGAGGAGCCTAATCCGTACTTCCTCGCGAACTCACATTTTATTTCTCAATTTTTTTTCGAAGGGAGTGGCACACAAGGATACATCACAATTACAAAAACATGATCATCACAACTCAATCAAGACGTACCACAAGTGTCTAAGCATAACACGATTACAACAATCAAATCACAAGGCAAGAATGTTTCAAGTTCACCAATCGAGAACAAACAAGGAACAAAACAATTCCGTGAACTCAAATGTGGGTTCCAATGTCAACAAATCGCCATTTAACTTTAAAGAAACCGTTCGAGTCATCAAGTACATAAAGCACGAAAATTAACAATGAAACCGCACTACAAGAAATTTCGGAAAACATGACGATAAAATTCGTCATGTAAACCTTGTTTTTCGTCACAATATTACAATGATGACGAATTTTTATCGTCACAGAGATCGTCACTGTAGCCGCGTCATATTAGGTGTAAGTGACAAATTTTAAATTTGTCACCAAAAGTTTCAATTTTAATGACGTTTATAACTTTTGTCATTTTATGCTATCATTTTTCGTGACAATAATTTCGTCACGTTTATTATATAAATTTTGTCATGTAAACAATTATTTTGTCATAAAAAAGACAAGTTTTAGATGACGAAAAATTAACTTTGTCATCTAAATTATTGT